GCTGATAAAGATTTCTGTCATTTAACCATGGTAGAGGGAGTAAAAAGCATCTAGCTATCTCCGTTTGTAGAAGCGTACATAGTATCAGACTTCAGTGTTATCAGAGATAACAATACCAAACTAAGTAGTACCTGAAGTGAGACAGAAGTGGTTTACCACGAGGAAGAGATTCCACTATTAAACCACAGTTTGAACTGGCTGAAACCACAGAACTTCTCTTTTAAAGTGACCAGAAATTTAAAAAAAAAAAAAAAAAAAGAAAAAATTGAAAAGTCAGTATTTCTAATATTTCAATGTAAAGGAGCTGTTCGACTCTCACAATTACTGGTTTTCTCAACAGTAGTTACTCTTGGAACAGATGCTTGGAAACAAGAGTTTAAAAAGCAGTAACAAAGGCAGGAAGCAGCAGATTTTGTAGTTAATTGTACTATCAAAATTAAAAGGACAGATCTGTCTTAATAGCAAAGAAACACAGAAAAAGAACAGACACTGCATGGGACAAGACAAAGTTGAAAACCCTAGATGCTTCCACTGAAGCAGCATGTGACAAGACATTCTGGCATAGCAGATATGCATACATATATATGCATACATAACAGAAAAAGCAGATGAAATGAGTTTTAAGAGTTTCACAAAAGCAGTTTTTTGGCAAGGAGCAGAATTTGAAACAAGGAAGCACAAGCGCCTAGGTTGGGCTTTTTCTATTGCTTGTGAGTGAATAGCTTAAAGGGATGGCATGGCCTGGTTAGTCTTGAAGCACGTTCAGTGATAAGTCTCCATTTAACCAAGGAAGTCAATCAAATGCACTTTCATTCAGTACTGAAGGAAAATTTTCACTAGATGAAGAGATACTGCAAGCATCCTCTCCAACTAGAAAAATAGTCATTTGGCTTGCATTCACCTGTTATTGACTTCATTCCAGAGCTATTAAGAAGCCTATGAAGAAATAGCTAGAGCTCCTTCCCCCATTTTTTGACAGGACATGAAGACATAACCTTTAAGAAGCACTTAAAGCAAGCAAATACCAAGTCATAGTCTAACAACCAAAATTGTAGTTAAGGAAACAAAGCAAAAAAAAGTAAAGGAACATTTTAAGCTAGTAAAACACTACATGCTTTCATGGCAGAATCAAGAGCACCATGGACTGTTCAGGCCAGTAAGCAAAGCAGTTGAAGACTGTATTTTTAAAGCTGAGTCTGTGTCTACTTTTATCTTAGTTGAACAGCTGAAAATTAAAAGGTATGGTTGGTTGCACAAGCCAAGCCACAGAATTCACTTGTTCCTTAGAAGAAGGTTGTCAAGCTTGTACCCAAATGCAGCAAACCAGGACACAAACAACATTGCAACTGCCTTGAAAAGGAAGTCGACTAATTTTGTAGAGACAGAAAATATGCAATAGTATCAGAAACAGAAATATTGAAACAGCATATGTATGTTCTTTTGGTTAATATGGCTTCACCACAGGCATATCTGGGGTCTGTTCCAATTTGTTGCACAGATACTTATTTTTAGATGAATCACTGAGGTTTTTAAAATGGTTAAGTTCTCATTTTAATTATAAGACATGCCTACTTGAAGAAAGAAAATATTTCACCAATTACACAGACAATTTAGCCACCTCCTTGTCAGATGTGATATCATTCTCTTCTAGCATAGTTATTTGTTTTGTTTAGCATCATTCTTTAAGTTCCTCTTGCCCCTCTACATGTGAAGAGTTTGAACCTCAGTGCCACAGGTAAAGAGTTCATGATCTAGAAGTAGTAGTCATCTTCAGGTTTAAAAAAAATAACCACTTCCAATAAGTGTTTTGGTTTGACATTTGATCTAAATTGTCATAGTGATTTCATTTTTGGAGGAAGTATTTTATCGTTGTTTTCTCTTTTTTAAAAAAGCTTGACTTGCACTTAGCTGTCTTCATGAATGGCTGTTGTGCCATCAGGAAATTAACATGCTCTTGCATATAACCACAGCAAGCATTAGTTAGGCTATGTCTACTTACATTTTTTTAAAAAACATTCTTACACAGTTGATCTATTTATTTTTCATAGCTTTTTTAATATGAAAGAAACCTAAGCTCTGCAATTACTTCAGGTTTAGGTAAGAAAGAACAGCCATCACCTCTTGGAAAAGCAAAACACAGGATGCAATATTCAAGAATATTTGTGTGTCTGTTTTAAAGCAGGTTCTGAAACTGGCACATAGAAAGTTACGTGCATCCTTCACCCTGGAAGTTGACTTAGGCACTTCAGGAAAAACCTACTCCCCATCCCAGGAATAACACTGTTTCTTACTCCCACCAACAGTCTAAAGCAGAGGAAAGAAACCCTTTGTAGGCGATGGATTATTTGCACTGAGTGGCCATTGCAAGAGCCACAGTAATTTTTATTACCCACAATTTTAATTTTTTCATTCCAAGAAGAAAAAATGTCCATGATAAGTTATTGAAAATTAATTGTTCAAATCAGTGTAATATTTATTCAAAAAAATAGGGATGAAGTATATAGATAGGTACAAGTAGTAAGAATCAGTTTTCATTTATTACTACTACAAATGTATAGCATATTGATAGGTGTATGACATTTACAATATAAACTGCTTAGTACAAAGCTCATACCAGTAAGACCTCTGTATTTTACAACTGTTTGTAAGAAAACATTTGCTAAAACTGTTACGTGACACACGATAATCAGTTGTACAACACAATGCTGTAATCAAATGATACATCAACTTTTCCTATAGTATTGATTCCATTGAGTTTATTTCAGTATGTAATAGTGACTCTCATATTCTCTCCTTCACCAGTTCTCCTTTAAAAGCAAGATCCAATAAAAAATTTCCAAGAAAACATTGTTACGACTGAATAAAGCAACCTACAATTTACCAATTGTGGCCCAATGAGTTGTCAGTGACATCTTCCAAAGTCTAAATTCCTTTTATAAAAACAGAATTCCTTAAATACATTCAGTTCAAAAAACCTTAATGCAAATGGAAGTTCAAGCCTAAATAAATCCTGCTAGACAACTAAATATTCTCAAGTAATCATGTCCTGAGCAACTTTGGCACCTACCACAACATACACTAAAAAAAACCCTCCTAATTTTATAGTTTGAGTTTCTCTTAATATCAAAAATACCCCAAAACCCCCACACTCCAGGAACATTTGAAACCTACCAGTTAAGAATTACACTTAATCACCACTCCAAACCAGATGCACATGAGCACTAGAATTAAGCTTCTCACAGCCTATTACAGTTCCCCAGTACCAAATATTTCCACAAAAGATTTAAGAACTTGCTTGAATAAAGTCTGCTGTCAGAACTGAATGCACTAAAACAATGTGCCTCAATTTTAAAGGTTCTCTTAAGGATCCTCACAATAATGCACAATACCCGACACTACTTGTGAAGATTCCTGGTACTGCAAACTGATCCTCCGCCGCAAATCAAACCAGAACATACAACTTGCTACCCATATCCTTCTCATTCTCAAATACATATCTAAACACAAAATACAAAAATATCTGAACAAGTAGAGTACAGTCTGTAATGAGAGTTAAGTACAGATTTATCATTCGACCTCTCAAAATTCCACGTTCATTTCATAATTCCATGTGCACTGCATGTTATACTGGTTGTGTGGGAATGTCTCAAGTTCAAAGTTAATCTCATGCCTTTTTGTTTCTTCGAGAGACAGTATTCAACGTTTCTTCAAGTCTTTCCATGGCTTCTGGGCATGACTATGTTTTAGTATCTTGGAAACCTATCCTGTCCCTTTTGGTATAGCTGTGACAAAAGAATAATGCTTATGTTATGTTTTCAGTTACGCTGTTTACATATGCATGTTTCCAGATTTGCTGTTTGCACATTGCATATACACAAGAACAGCCATCCCCAAAAGTATCAAAACTGAATGTCCAAAGAGAAAATACAAACATACATGATGCAACATTAAAATACTTAAAAACATTCAGCACTGCATTCCCTTTTCTCTTGGATCATTGGTTTCTTAAAAATGGAAAGAGATGAAGAAAGAACCCAAAGCAATGTGCAGCACTGGGGCCACATATTCAAGTGTGAACTTCAAAATCAGATGAAGAAGTTTCTTGCTAGTAAAATAGGATTTTTGTATTTCATAACGCTATCCCTACAAACTCAGAGCAGAATGTACCAAGCAGAAAGAACCCAAAGGAAAAAAAAACCCAAATTCCATATCCTCCCCCAAAATATTTAGTATTTCAGAGCTATCCTATTATACCATAAATATATCATAAATACTATGATTAATATTTAAACCTTCCAGCCAGGATTAGCAATGGTTGACAGCTAAGCTGGCTCTGCAATATGTAAAAGACATCAGCATCAGGTTTCTTGATTTGGAATTATTTTTAACCACAACAATTATTACTATCTTAACAGTCTTAAGAATAGATAAAAACCAAACCAAGTAAAGAAAATAAAAGCACAAAATTTAACATGTGGAAGGATGAAAGTAACAATAAATTTTGAAATCCTATGCTGTACAGTGAAGGAGACTAGACATAGTACAGGTACACAGCCAGTGTGTAACCTGTTAGAGCATTCTCACAGCAATGTCCAATCTGTACACTCTGCACATTTTTCAACGTTTCAATTGCATACAAGAGAGCTTTTATATCCAAAAAAAGAATATCACTTAAGGACCAGTAAGCTTGTGTGTCAGGCTTGCTATTAATATACTTGTAAGTGATACAACCATTAGAAATAGAAGTTATTAACAGAAAGTTTAATTTTAATGGTATTTTCATTAATAACAAATAGGTATTGCTATTACAGAAACATCAAAAAAAGCCAGTAGCAAAAGGTCCATTGCAGCTAGTATGCCCTCACAGGAATTAATTTCACTTTTAGAAGTCTTTGTTACTTGAGACTAACAAGAAGTAAAACCATGTTATGAATAACAGGATAAATTTAAGGAATATTAATGTTTATTTAATTTTAATTTATAGGTAAAGAAGTAATTACCTGCTTGTATTCACCAACGCAGTTCTGACAACAGAATCTTTTCTGCTGACCATCAATAGTAAGAATATTGTTTCCTGCTCCTTTACTGGGCAAATACTCCCCACAATGCTCACAGCAATTCATTATTAAACCATTTGCCATCCTGTATCTATTGAAGCAATGGTCACTGCACAGCTTATGAGTCATATTTTTAAAGCTAACTTCATGACGAATCTAAAAAATAAAAATAAAAAGCGTATTCTATCACCACACAAGCATAAAGTTGCCTTAAACTACTAGACAATCCAAAGTCTAACATTCAAGTACAATAACTAAAACCAGATTCTACTAGCTCACTGTTTTAACAAGAGACACTTGAAATGACCATGAAATATAGAAAGAGAAATTGGTGTTTCTGTTGCCTCCAAAGTTCTAGAAAAAAAACCTTGGACCCATTTTTCTTGTAGCCTAGAAGCAAAGATCACAGGGAAGGATGTAATAGTTCTATATTACAGCAGAAGGTCAATCTATGCAATTTTATAAAATACTCAATTTGCAGGCTAACAACATTGGCATATAAAGACTGGCCAGACACATACGCCATGTAAAGTAGTAGCCTGAACTATGTTGGGCCCAGTAACGGCATCAAGAGTAAATTAATACATTAATGAGAATTTTAAATTACGTATATTCTACATATCTCTAAAAACATTTGCATAATCTTTCACAATAGACAGTAAAAATAAAGTAAATAATACAGTAAATATTGGCTTTTTTCAACAGCAATTCTTCTGCATGGGATATCTGGATTATAATTACAAGATTCCACGCCTAATAAAATTGTTGACAGTAGCTGCAAGATATCAGCAAAAGGCACTTCAAGTTTTTGAAACAAAAATCAAATATTAGCCTCCTTGAATTTTCTTCCTTCAACTGCTCTTCATGAATATTAAGCCTGCATATCTTAATATATCACTGCATATGAAAATAGTGAATTGTATTTTAAATTTCCTTATTTTCAGTTCTCTTATTTCAGAATGTAAGTTACTAATATTGTCACAACTGAGAAAGATGGGGGGGGGAGACACACACGACACGGGGACACACACAAACAAACAAAAAAAACCAGTCAACCAGACCTCAGTTAGTTTACCACAGATAGTGCATCTTGATTTATTCAAAACTCCTTTCGAGGGATTCTGTTTATCTTCATAGAAGGATAAACATGATGTACTGCAAAACTCCTGGAAAGACTCGCTTGAATCAACTTGAGCAACAATGGTACCTTTCATTGTTGTTATATCTCTGAAAGACAAAACAAACCTCTAGTGTGCTTGTGTATAAATACACATACGTATTTAAACAAGAACACATTATATCTTACAAGATTCATTCTTTTAATGCTTACTTTTCAAACCAGTTGTTAGTCACATGTAAAACCCTAAGTTTAATAACATTTTTACACTACTGCAAGTACAATGTCTTTCCAGTGTAAAAACCTGTATTTTTATTTGGATTCGATTCCCTCCCCTCCACCATTACCTTATTCTAGAACTACGTGACCTTAATGCACCATTAGGTACCAGCTGTGGCAAACTCAATCTTACACAAAAATTAACACAGCAAATTTAAACTAGCCCTTTTGCAACTTTACACAAAACCTATACTTCAGTTTCATACAAAAAATTCAGATTTATAGTAAAAGGCAAGAAATGGTCTTTTATTTGTATATAACACCACCATTTCCAGTATTAATCTCAAGATAGGATGGGGGGGAGAGAAGGTTCTTTTCTCATAAATCATAGAATCGTTTAGGTTGGAAAAGACCTTTAAGATCATCCAGTCCAACCATTAACCTAACACTACCAAGTCTACCACTAAGCCAATTAAGGGTAGAGTAATAATTTTGTGTTTCCTGGCTTGGTAGCTGGATTATTTTTTAACGAAAGTAAAAAAACTAGGAATCATTAAGGTGGGAAAGGATCTCTAAGATCATAAGTCCAACCATCAACCCAACACCACCATGCCCACTAAACCATGTCCCCAAGTGCCACGTCTACCCGTTTTTTGACCACCTCCAGGGATGGTGACTCCACCACCTCTCTGGGCAACCTGTTCCAATGCTTGACTACTCTTTCTGAAGAAATTTTTCCTAATATCCAATCTAATGTAACCAAAAAGCTTAAAACTCTACCACAAACTTGCCTAGAAGTTTTATCATTTAAAATTCTAAAAAAGTTAATTCCATCATTACTTTAAAGTTCCAAAGCGCCTGAACAGTTCATGCAGTTGCCCATGAAATTGCACTAATTTAAAGCATCAAACCAGACAAGCAACCATCAATAAAATTAATTTGAAATAGAACAAACCTCCTTCTAACCAAACTGACTTACACTGTTTTTCACTGAAGTTAATTCTAGAATTCCTTGATCTTCAATTGTGTACTGCACATGCTGCAAAGTTGCTAACGCCATGCTTGTCAGTGCACCTTTGTAATCAGGTCTCCCAAACTTCTAAGGTAATTTCTAAGGTAGTTCCACTCTTAATCCCAAACTATCACATACCATAAATTAGAAGCAGTAAGTGAGAAGAAATAAAAACCTCCTCCTTTGTCCTCTAAGTTAAAGAAACTATTACTGAAACACGGGAAATGCTATTGAGCAGAAAATTTAAAACAAACAAACAAAAAAAAGACCGGGCACATCTGGATCTCTACTGACATCACGATGGATCACCAGTTGGAAAAGACATGCCCCAGGCACTTGCACCCAGGAGCCCTAAAACTAGGATGAGTGGAAAACACTGGAAAAATGCCGTATGCTTCCCTAGACAGACTCCCTTGAAAATAAACTTGTACTGCTCCTGGATGTTAACACTTGCAAGCCTGCCTTCTTCCATCAAAGGAGTCAACAGACTTTGGCTTGCCCTTTGGGAAGCTAGTAAGGATTTCTGTTGGAGACTGTTAGCACTTCCATTCTGCAAAACAAAGCCAGAGCTCCTCCTGCCTTGAGGAGCTTGCAGTTTCTGGCTGGATTCCACCAGGACTTACAAAGGCTATTAACTTCTATCACAGGATGCAAGTGCAAAGTCAAAAAGAATAACGCAAGTCAATAAAAATTATAAACACCAAGGAGAATGACAGATATTTCCTATACTTTCCTTCCTATAATAATTCCTATGCTATTTATGTAGTTACAAAGGTTCAGAAGAGTGCTAGAAAAGTGGTTTACTATAAAATACGTAGTTCTGACTTTTCAGATGCGGTTACACATTTTTTAAAAAAAATTATTGTAGGCCTCACTTTTTCCACTTAAAGTACTCTACATACTTAAAGATAAATCTGACCATTACCTCTGAAATCTGACCTATGACATATCAACTATTATCATCTATCCAACCTACATTCAAGGTCTCCTGGATTTTGCTGGAGTTCCCTTATCCTTTCACTGAACTACAATCTGACAATAGGATGCCTGCTCTAGCAGGAAAAGCACACAGAAGCAAGTACAGAGCACAGAGTACCTGGTTTGCTACCACCAGGTAGCAAAAATTTGGCAATAAAGCAAAAAAAGGCTAGATAGGATTGGGCTTCACAACAAAGTCATGTTGTAGAGGAACAATTTCATGCATATACTGCCTTCTATTTAACTGTGATTGAGCAAGCAACTGCATACTAGTGGAAGACCAAAGACAAACATCACCTCAAAAATTGTCAAAAGGTGACTTCACAGAGGTTCTCTAGAAATCAAATACACTAAACAAACTATTTTAAGTAACCCCAAAAGCTAGAAATATGCTATTTTCCTCATCGTTCAAAAATAAAGCCTTTTCATTTAGGGCAGTTTTATATATGGCCTCTTACGATACACAGGTATCTCCAAAGTTGCAAGAGAGCACAGATTTAGCCATGAATTTTCAAGATTTCAGTCAGAAATAAAAAGATTAGTCTAATTTTCATCTTTATGTACAATACAGCTAGCTGAGTACAGTAGTCACCAGATTACTTCTAACAAGAGAAGTGTATAAACACGTACAAGCCAACAGAAAGGGTACACAGTGCTTTTAACTACCTCTGTAGAGGCAAGGGTTGAGAGAATTTGAGCTTTTACATGTATTTAAAAAAAAGCTAAAATGTTAAATCTTCTAGGTTTTCAGTGTACCAAGGTATGAATACACAGGATAACAATACCTTCTATAGTTTATTTTTACTGAGCCTCAAGGAAAAAAAAGAGCTACTCAGATCACTAGCTTACATCTGAATACAAGCCATTAATCCACCACACTGCATACTGAAGTAAAACTTTTTCACTAGTTTAAATCTGCAACTGACCAAAGACCACCCTCTCCAAAACATAAATCAGTGAAGGAAGTCTTTACTACAATCCTTCTTTATTTCAGCAAGAATTCATCATTTAACCAGTGTCACTGCAGGTTGTACTGGATTGAGACTTTACTGAAAAAATATGAAAAAGTGCAAGTATCTCAGTAATCAGGACACTGAAAGAAAAAGATAGGTGTGCAAAATAGCTGTACTAACACTACAACAAGTACAATTACAGAAGACTTCTCTTTGGTGATTTTAAGTTTGGGAAATAATGAAAAATTACAAGTCAAACCCAACCAGTAATTTAGAACAAGCCATTTCTAGGTATGCTTGTCACTCCCTCTGTACTGCCCACTTAAGGAATCTTCAGCTTCAGAAGTTGCCACAAGCGACCCTAACTATGGGGAAGTCTAAAGCTTCTCCTCTCCCCACACCACCAACAGTGCAAGAGGTCCCAAATTCCTTCCAGCTTCTTGCAAACATCAGTTTCTCCTCCTTTTTAAAGCCTCTTGATTTTCTATCTTCATCTATCAAAATGAATGCTTTCTATACAACATAAGGTCTACTTTCTTCATAAAGGACTTCAGATGGAAACAATGTATCTTGTCACAGGATATATTATAACTTGGACACCTTGTCTTTAAAAAAAAAAAAATCAGTAATTTTTAGTGTATTGGCTTTCATAGAAACAATCTGCCATACTCCAAATTCAAAAGCTGGTCGACTTTTTATTTTGTGATAGCAGACACAGTGAATTCAACATTTCCAAACAACATTAAAGTGACACTATATAGTCAGATTTCATATCATTAACAGAGCAATTCTCATACACGCATCAGAAAATCAAATATTACTGGATTTAGCTGCTAATACGAAAAAAAAAATGAAAATCCCTTACTTTCTGCACATAACACAAAGTTTCTTTGGAGTGGGTTTGTGAGAGAATGATGAGAGGCAGGTAGTAGAACAAAAAAGGTGAGCTGATCCTTTTCGCTGATATGCAGTCTGTCCCTTTTGTAAAGGCTTTTTGCAGTTTGCACATGTGACTTTAACCTGTTTAGTAGGCTGCTGCTGGGCAGAAGGCTGGAAAATCTGTTTAGGAAGTGATGCTACAGGTGACAAGGAATCCACACCTGGTTGCTTCTGATTCCTAGGGAAGGAGGCTGACTGGGATATCCAAGAATCTTCAAGACAAGAAAACAAACAAACATAAAAGTAAGTGAACAGACATGTACCTATCTATAGAATAATATTCACAGATATGTGATCATAAAATCATTTTTCTGTTGGAACTGACAATTAACAGAAGAAAGATGATATTTCAGAAATTCAGGTTTGAAGTAAAAATGCTGTTTGATGGTATCATTCTCCATTGTTACAAAGCTTCAGAACATGAACAGATTTCAGGATGGTCCCATCCTACATCTAGTGACAAGTTCTGCAGACCTCAATTCACTCGCGCTGGGTTTGCGAACTGGCAGTTTTATCTTCAAACAAAACTGCAATTACCAACTGCAATGGAAAAAAAAAAACCAAACCACCCAACAAAAAAAAAAAAGGAGACCAACAGATATCATGGAATTTCTAAACTAAGGTTTCAGATATAAACTCTGCAAATTTTAAGAACATGCAATCTTAGATTTTCATTAGTTATTCTGTTGTAAAGCTTTAACAAGCATCTGTAAAAGTTCATGTGTCCAGCCTCAATGATAAACCCCAAAGCTAGGGCTCCCCATACTAGTTTCCTAGTCCAGCCTGCAGCCAGAGAACTATACTGCAGTTAGATGCAGATCCCAGATGTGGAGCCACCATGCTTTGCTCTATGTCACTGATTTCTGTAGAGAGCTCCTGTTTTTCTCAATAACCTTTTCAATGCAATGAATACCACTTAACATGCAAATTGGCAAAGTCATGAGAGTTCCAAGTCTTCCTCAGTAGAAATCAATGAACCTAGAAAATAATATTTTATTAAGTTCTGGCAGTATACAAATCCATGTCCCTGTGTTCCAGACTCCACTAGTCTTCCATCTGTATTTTTGGACAACAGACTACTATGGAACAAAGTCATTCTTGCCTAATCTTTTGTAGCATAACATGCTACAGAATAACTTGCATAAAAAGAACTTAAGTAAAACTTTTTATCCAACAGAAATACATCTAGAAAGATCACATGCTTCTGTTAAATTACATGCTCGGTATCTTAGTTTGGAGCAGAATATACAGTTCGGGGGGCGGGGGAAGGATCCCCGAATAAAATGTAACTTCTAGGCTTTTCCTCTGGAATTTGAGCTTTCATTTTGAGTGACTACCAGAATTTAGGAATGTTGACCTTCTGAAGAATACCAAGAATGGTATATTACTTAAGCATGAATTAAAACCTGAATAGAAACTTCTTTGCATTATAAAAAACATTCACACACACATTTTTCAATAGTATGTGCCACCTATCCCTAATAGTATCACAGCACTTGGGACTTACCTTTCAAGCTTTTTATTCCCAGCATCTAGAACAGTACTTCAATGTTACTTGCTGAACAGTAAACACCTGCATAAATACTACTGTATTGGGTAGCACTTGTGCTACTACTTTTAAGTAAACACAGCATTTAATGTAACTATATAAAAATACTAAGCCTTGACTGTCTTACTACAGTAACTCAGTGTATTCCCGGAGCAACTCAGTGTATTCCCGGAGCATTATTACAACTAGTATTAGCAACCAAATGTAAGAAAGATGATTTTAAGTTCTATAACTTTAGATAACAAAAACCTTAATCTATAGACTTCAGCAACTGCCCATACCTTATTCTTAAAGGACATTATCTTGGCCCATAATCTTTAATTAAATAGAAGGCACCCTTTCCTCATGCTGTTTTCTAAAGTCCTCTCTTTCCCCGAGAGGGTTTATTAACAACATATTCTGCTGCATAGTTTTAAAATTAATTTTAGGGACAACGTTCCAAGAACCCTTGTTACAGCAACAAACAACATACATCCCTTAGCAAGTAGAAGATCATTTCCCAGTGTGACTTTGTAGCTGTCAAGGATGCCCTATTTCTCAGACATGTAAGACAAGTTGGAAATCTACCCATTGTAATGCTTGAAGGTAAACAGAAGAGCTGGAACAAAGAGGTGAGGGGAAGAGGGAAAGGAAACAGAACAAAACACACTCCTCTTTAAACCATTAGAGAAGTTTACCTTTGAAGGCATGAGTATCCATACTGACAAACTAAGATACATTATCACAGTGCTTAAAGTTAAAATTCACTTGAGTGTCCTGTTCAAACTTTTCTATACTATTAGATCTACTACCTCACATATATTTATATCCTGGTAGCACCTTAACACCTCAACATATTTTGAGATTCTCCCCTTTTCTCATAGGTTTCAAGTGGGAGCACATTGTATCTCTTTTCACGAATACACAGCATGTGCAGTAAAGCTACATGTGCTTGTAATTCCAGTAGTGCTCAACTGCTGCTCACGGAAACTAAAGTTTGCTAGGCTCATTTCGGTTTGAAACTTTTACCATGACTTCCTAGTACCTCATTATTTCAATATTTCCATAGTATCTTAAGGCTTCAGACAGCCTCCCTTAATTGACATTTTGTTGCATTTCTCCTTCCACAAACACACCATGAGAACATGTAATCTTCTTGCTTTCATTTTTTTTGCTTTCACTTCTTCCACATCACAACTTCATAGACATTAATTTTTATATTGTGACTTTTCTTCTCATCTCACTTTTTAACCATGTTACTTCCTCCACTTTATATTCTCTACAAAGAATCTGCAAAATCTGTTTTTCATGCCCTTGAACTGAGAAGGTATATCACGCTTCCTTAGTTGATTCCCGATGAGTTTCCATGCCTCACTGTCCTTACATCTTCATCCTTCAGGTTCCTAGCTGCAATTCTTTAATGGCCAAGTTTATGAGACTGTACAGTTTCATGTTCAATTTATTCTTACTATAATGGCTGTTCAGGGTGTTCCCATTCTTTTGCACTCAGTCCTGCTCTAAACGGCTATAAAATTATTCCTTACTCTCATTTACACCAATACATTTATTTGTGGAGTCATCTTGCAAAAATGGCTCAATGAAATTATGTCTTTTAAAAAAGCTGAAAAAACTGTATCAGCACAACTTTGGGCAGAGGTGGGGAGGAAGACAGTAACAAAGTTTTACAGAGGTATGCAGCTCTTGAAACATATTCAGCTACATCTGCACTAATGAGCATTAATTACCTGGTTCAGATCAGGACAATTCTGAACTGCATCCTCAATTTACTAGGTGTTGGTTTTGGAGCAGTTTTGATGCACAAAAACCGAGAATCCATTCAGAGAAACAAAACCTAAGTTTGAGTCCAAAAGCACTTGAAACTCATCTACATCAACTTCTGTTCACCTACCTGGACTTCTCCAAGACCTTTGATATGGTCCCCCACAACATTCCTGCTGCTAAATTGGAGACATACAGATTTGATGGATAAGGAATCGGCTGGGTGGTTGTGTCCAAAGAGTTACAGTTAATGACTCAATGTCCAAGTGGAAACCAGTAATGAGCTGTGTCCCTCAAGGGCCCATACTAGGACTGATACTATTTAGTATCTTCATCAACAGCATAGTGGGATTAAGTGCACCCTCAGCAAGTTTGCAGGCAATAACAAGCCAAGCGGTGCAGTTGATAATTTGGCAGGAAGGGATGCCATCCAGAGGGACCTTGACAGGCTTGCAGAATGGGCCCACTTGAACCTCATGAAGCTCAACAAGGCCAAGTGCACCTGGGTCAGGGCAACCCTCAATATCAATACAAACTGAGGGATGAATGGATTGAGAGCAGCCCTGCTGAGGAGGACTTGGGGATACCAGTAGATGAAAAACTGGACATGAGCTGGCAATGTGTGCTTGCAGCCCAGAAAGCCAACCATATCCTGGGCTGCATCAAAAGAAGCGTGGCCAGCAGGTCGAGGGAGGTGATTCTGCCTCTCCGCTCCAGTGAGACCCCACCTGGAGTACTGCGTCGAGCTCTGGAGTCCCCAGTACAAGACAGACATGGGCCTGTTAGAGCACATCCAGAGGAGGGCCACAAAAGACTGGAAGAAGGCTTGAACACCTCTCCTACGACGACAGGCTCAGGGAGTTGGGGTTGTTCAGCCTGGAGAAGAGAAGGCTGTGGGAAGACCTTATTGTGGCCTTTCAGTACTTCAAGGGGGCTTATAAGAAAGGTGGAGAGATACTTTTTACCAAGACCTGTAGTGACAGGTCAAGGGGCAATTTTTTTTATTTTTTTTTTTTAATTGAAAGAAGGTAGATTTAGATTAGACATGAGGAATAAATTATTTTACGATGAAAGTGACAAGACACTGGAACAGGTTGCCCAGAAAAGTTGTGGATGCCCCATCACTGAAGTGTTCAAGGTGAGGCTGGATGGGGCTCTGAGCAACCTGATCTAGTGAAAGATGTCCCTGACCATGGCAGGGCAGTTGGGCTAGATGATCTTTAAAAGTCCCTTCCAAACCATTCTATCAAATGTACTCCAATGCTCGATGAAAGTGACAAGACACTGGAACAGGTTGCCCAGAAAAGTTGTGGATGCCCCATCACTGAAGTGTTCAAGGTGAGGCTGGATGGGGCTCTGAGCAACCTGATCTAGTGAAAGATGTCCCTGACCATGGCAGGGCAGTTGGGCTAGATGATCTTTAAAAGTCCCTTCCAAACCATTCTATCAAATGTACTCCAATGCTTACACCCTCAGCAAGTTTGCAGACGACACCAAGCTGAGTGGTGCAGTTGACATGCCCGAAGGATGAGATGTCATCCAAAGGGACCTGGACAAGCCAGAGGTGGGCCTGTGTGAATCTCATGAGGTTCAACAAGGCCAAGTGCAAGGTCCTGCACCTGGGACGGGGCAACTCCCAATATCAATACAGGCTGGGGAATGAAGGGATTGAGAGCAGCCCTGCAGAGAAGGGCTTGGGGGTACTGGTAGATGAAAAGCTGGACATGAGCCAACAATGTGCACTTGCAGCCCAGAAAGCCAACCGTATCCTGGGATGCATCAAAAGAAGCGTGGCCAGCAGGTCGAGGGAGGTGATTCTGCCTCTCTGCTCTGCTAAGACCTCATTTGGAGTACTGCGTCCAGCTCTGGGGCCCTCAGCACAAGAAGCACATGGACCTGCTGGAGCGGGTCCAGAGGAGGGCCACCAAAATGATCCGAGGGCTGGAGCACCTCTCCTATGAGGACAGGCTGAGAGAGTGGGGGGTTGTTCAGCCTACAGAAGGCTGCAAGGAGACCTTATTGCGACCTTTCAGTACTTAAAGGGGGCCTACAGGAAAGATGGGGAGAATCTTTTTAGCAAGGCCTGTTGTGACAGGACAAGGAATAATGGATTTAAACTAAAGAAGAATAAATTTAGACTAGACATAAGAAAGAAATTTTTTACAATGAGGGTGGTCAAGCACTGGAACAGGTTGCCCAGAGAGGTGGTAGAGGCCCCATCCCTGGCAACATTCAAGGTCAGGCTGGATGGGGCTCTGAGCAACCCGATCTAGTTAAAAGCTGTCCCTACTCACTGCAGGGGGGTTGGGCTAGATGACCTCTAAAGGTCCCTTCCAACCCAAAGCATTCTATGATTCTATTCTATGATTCTAGGGACGTTAGGTTCTGAATTAGTGTGTTCGACAGAAGTTTCTCTGCTATGCACCTACTGTTTCCCATATAGTAGAGGCACTTAGCTGAGGGGAACAGACTAACACTGATACAGAAGAAATCTTCCAAACCACATACAGAATCATAGAATCATCCAGGTTGGAAAAGACGCTTAACATCACCTAGTCCAATACTAAGTCCACCGCTAAACCATGTCCCTAGGCACCACATCTACACATCTTTTAAATACCTCCAGGGATGGGGACTCAACCACTTCCCTGGACAGCCTGTTCCAATGCTTGACGACCCTTTCCATGATGAAATTTTTCCTAACATCCAATCTAAACCTCCCCTGGTGCAACTCGAGGGTGTTTCCTCTTGTCCCATCACTTGTTACTTGGAAGAAGAGACAGACATCCACCTCGCTACAACCTCCTTTCAGGTAGTTGTAGAGAGCAATAAGGTGTCCCTTGAGCCTCCTTTTCTCCAGGCTAAACAACCCCAGTTCCCTCAGCCGCTCCTCATAACACTTGTGCTCCAGACCCTTCACGAGCTTCGTTGCCCTTCTCTGGACACGCTCCAGCACCTCAGTATCCTTCAGTGAGGGGCCCAAAACTGAACACAGTACTTGACGTGCAGCCTCACCAGTGCTGAGTACAAGGGGATGATCACTTCCCTAGTTCTGCTAGCCACACTATTTCTGACTTAAACACATATATTTGCCAGAGCTTCACTATCAACAATTCTGATCTATTATTTTTCTCACAACATGTAGATGTCACATGTCGTAATTCCTTTGTCACGGGGAAAAAAGGAAGTATCAAGAAACAATACATATTTGCATCTTCAAGGCTCCAAAGCAAACATGAATAACAGGTTTTGTCCAAGGTGCAAACTAGAACATCTTTAGGTAACAGACTAGTTCTAGAGATTTGCAAAACTGCTCTGTAAATTGATGTATTAAGCCATTACACAAAGTTTTGACATTCAACAAATGCTAACTAGCAAATCCCTAAAGAAAGTTATGGTATCTGAAAATAAGCTTGCTATGTGACTTCTTGCATCCTATTTCTGAACTATAAGCAGTGTTTTTCAATCCATGATCTTCAAATTATATACATCAAAGCATTTTTATCATCTGTAGGCTTAAATTAACTGAGCAGGAGTCTCCACGTCTGTTGGAAATATTCTGGAAATCTGGAAATCGGAACAGATGGAACACCACTGATCCAGAAAAGATGAATCTATCCTTAGCAACCTTAGACTGGAATTGTGTAGAATACATTAAACATATTTAAGATCAAATGCTTCCTGTCATTATTATCAAAGTTTCTAACAGGCAGGGTTAAATTCTACTGACAAGATCTTCTAGAAGAAAAGGAGGCAACTTCCAGTGAAAAAGAACAAAATTGAAATTTGTATCTTGAAAACCTTTCCTTTACATCTTTATAAATACAAAAACCTGTAAATGATCTGCACCTACCGTGTTTCAGGCTTTTTCTTGTGTAAAAGCCATTTCCACTATAGCTGTCTTCCCTCTTTCCTTCTCTTGTTTCTTCTTCTCATGTTCTTTGTCATTTTTCTAATTCCTCTCATCTGGTACTTTTCTCCTTCCCTTTTACCTGCAGCAGCCCTTCCTGCTTCCTTCTGAAGCTACTGCTCTTTATTTTTCATATACAAAGACCACAGCCATTAAAAAAATCCTGTATGCGTACACCTTGAAATAAATCTCTCACATCCACTTGTAAACCTATTTTTCCCTCCCTTCTGAGTAAGTCTTTTTCATCAAGGCCCTAAAAGGACTCCAAGCCACTACTCCTGTCTCTCTGAACTCAATATATTTCAGTACTGCTATGGTCCCAGCCTATCAAACTTCATACAGGCAAAATTCTGGTGTGTCTCTGTTAATTGCACCAAAAATAAAAATTCAGTAGTTTTAGGGAAAGCACATGCTCATTTTCTTAAGATGCGCTGTCCCCAAGGAAAGCAAAGGCACTACTTTAAGGTAACAAATGCTTTAAGTTCTCATCCACAACTATTTGACCATTTGTGGTAACACAATAATCATACCCCATGTCTGAGGGATCAACTAGCAATAGGGGGAATGTTGGTTTTAAAAGATTAGGAATTGAATTTCTAAACTATTCAGTGAGACATCCAGACTATAAAAACTTCCCAGCTTTCAACTTCAGAAGTCAAATTTTGAAATCAGTTTCAAGATTAACACAAAAACTCACAACCTAACATCCTACTTAAAGCTTAGCTTCATACTGCCGTTTCCATAATACAATATGAAAGGTATTAAGACTTTTGCAAAGTACATTTGGTAACATATGAACAAATTGAAAAACTGTGCTATTTAAATATTCATTGAAAAACAAGTAAAAAGAAAACGTGTTTTCATCAGCATATGAGCAAGTTAAGAAATCGTGCATTCACAAGGGTCTACTGCACCTACATTCTATTCTATTTTCCTTTTAAAATGACCCTAACTAGTCTGAAGTTAAACCTGTAGCAGAAGTGGTAACTTGGCTTTTTCCCCCACTTCTAGACCACCAGGACAGCAGAATACCAGTATATGTTGGAACTTGGAAGGTTTTAAATTGTTTATGTGATAGCTTAAATTCCGTAGACTAGCAATTCCAGAAGACTATTCACGGCTGCTCCATTTGGCTTTTAGCAGTACCTGTTTACTTGCTAAATCAGGAGACAATATACTGCTATTTACACAGAGATATAGAACAAAACCAGCCAATTCAAACTAATTAGTATTGTATGATATAAATATATATTATCACAGGCGACTAAATAGCAATTATAAAGCGTATCTAACTTAGTGCAGGAGTATGCGAGTCCACAAGTAACTTGGACCCCGTTTTGTTAAGCATTGTAAATATGAGAATTGCTCAGTATGCAATGAATTATGACAGCGAGCTACTTACAACTTAAGATCAGACTTTCAAATTCAGGTTTTTTGCATGTCAAATTATATTCAGATGGCAAGACAATGGATCAGTAAAATAATACTTAAGTAACTCTGATGCAATATAGTAGTCATGGAACTGCACAAAAAGGTACAGAAGTTACATAGATACACTAATCTTTATTCATGTCAATTAAAGGGGTACACTTAAGTCATAAAGAAAGCTTTGCTTTAGATACAAATACTTGCATCTCAAAGCATCTGAAGGTATCACTAACTGCTAAACTGGGACACTTTATCTACTTAACACATTATGTCACTGAGCATATTTCAATTCCAGAGTCACAGATAAGGTTGTGATGGGGATGAAGGGAACCAAGATCTTCCATATTAATTAAGCTAAAAAAACTAAGCAGCGCCACTGTCAAAAATATTTTATTAAACATTCTAGAATTTATTTTCAGCTTTTAAGGAAATGTTCAGAATTGCAACTTACCAGGATTATGATGAGTCACAGATTCTCCATTTTGAAATACATCTCCAGCCACGTTCATTCTACCAGGATTGAAAGGTCCTACACCAGTCTTGGTCTGTGAAGTCAAAGATGGGGTGTATGTTTGCATATTAACACCAAAATTACTTGACTGCAGTCCGTTAGATACATCTCCCAAGTTGGCATTCTGCAGTGATGTAACATGTGTAATCATTAAGTTCATGTCACGCCCTTCAGCATTTTCTAAATGACCATCACTCACAGAGCTCACAGCACCTGTTTCTAATGTAGTAACATTAGCAATCTGAATTTCAGAGTCTGGTTCTGTGGTTATACCACTATTACCTATTCCTGAATTTACCTTACTTCTTGAAAAACTGGAAGCTGAGAATTCCATATCGTTGGTTCTATTTTTACACTCTGGAAGTTTTCGTTCATTAAAACTGGAAGCATTCTTCTCTTGTCCTTGATTTGTTTCAATGTCTTCTTCATCATCAATAATAATAGTTTCACTTACACTCCCCTTTTGAGAATTTAAGTCTTTTGGAGCAGGAAGCATTTTGCAATCATTCCCTTGAAGTTCTTCATTTCTTGATGATGTAAATGCAGTGTTCCTTTGATCTGCTATCAGTGACGTAGAATTTTGTGGAGGTTGTACAGGTTCAATAAAAACTACATCATCATCATCTTCTATAGGTGAGTTTTGGAATTTATTAGGTCTAGAAACTAAAGAACTTGGTGGACCTCCGAATGTATTTCCTACATTTGCAAGACCTGCTGCCATGGTGGTATTTCCTAGTAGACCAGGAGTATGTTCAGACAGTTCTAATCCTCCCAGAGGACTCGTGTCCATTCCAGGTCTGCTGTTTAAAGAAAAACATAAAGCAAGAAAAACCACACCCACTTTAGAGTAAGATATAACTTTCCAAAAACAGTTCTTAAAAATAACTACAGAATTAATAGTTCCAGCTTTTGCTTTTTCTTCCTGAGATCATGTACAGAAAAAACAAAGTTTCTCTATGCTTGTCTTTGAATGTCTTAACATTCCTTTACTTTCTAATCCTACGCTAGCAAAAGAATACTGCCATTACCAACATTTCCCACACAACAGCTACACATCATTATGTTTAGCATACATACATACACAGGAAATATAATTTTTGATGGTATTTATTACACAATCCTGATTTCTCTGTCCCTTTCCCACCCACATATACACACAATGATCCTGTAACACTGCTTTTGCTAGATTGCAAAGCAAGATCAAAAGTTAGACACGCAGAAAGAAAATTTGAATTCCTATTAAATTTCATTCCTATTAGAAATGTTACAAGAGTTTCAGTATCAATAAATTTATACAATAAAAGACTGAAGGACATATCCAACTGCCTAGCAAAAGAAAAAAGAAAAAGGGCAACTTTATTTTGCATATTAACAACTTTGACATTCGACTGATTTTCCCCCAACCCCACGCTGCCAAAGGTCCTTAGGTGGCCCCAATATAACTGGAACACAGAAGTAAGCAAAAGAGAGATGGAACTGCTGCACATGACTGCAACAGATACATTATTGAGCAGCAGAAAGTGCACAGCAACCTCTCATTTCTAGCTACTACCAAAGGCAGTTCATTTGAGGTCCTGACTTACTACCTCATGTTCCACTGCAGCTTTCAACAACTTTATCTCTTTTCTTTTCAACAGCAACCAGTGCTTCTTCAAGCTCCTTCCTGAAAGCTACTTTGTCTGGGGGTTTCTGTTTGCTTTTAGTAATTCTTCAGTTTGGGGAATCTGCTGTTTACAATTGTCAATTCTACCATGAATTAAAAAATCATAGAAGGCAACCTGGATATACGATTTCTGTGCCTGTAATTCCGTCCAAACCAGTATATAATTGGTGCTAAAAGACCTAAGATCTCTCTAACACCTTTACCAAAAATCAGTAAATTAAATTGATCTTGATATACACAGGAAAATACAGACATAATTACATGATAATTTGGCTATGTCTTGAAGCATACACTAATGTGTGAGCTTTTGTGAAAGGCTAGAAGTAGCTTTCTGTGCTTTTTTATAAAACCTTTACAGAGGAAGGTAAATAAAGGAAGCAGAAATATCCTGCTCATCAATACTTACCCATCCAGAAATCCACTGCAATCTGTTTACCTTAATAAGTTGCTCCAAGAGCTTTTATTTTCTTTCCTGTGGGGAACCTGCTCTTCTTGTATCAACTTGCTGCCCTCTGCAAAAGCAGTGTGTTCTGAAACAGGGTTAAAACAAACATTAGATAGCTGAAACACAGTTTCTTCATCTCAAACCTCTTCTACCAACTATGTTCATTAAACTGACTTCCTTCTAAACTTACAGGTTAAGTTCAAACCTGACTTTTAGCGCTATCACCCTACAACATTAGAGAGAGAACATCAGTCCATACAATCACTGTCATAAGTAAAGCAGCAACAGTACTGTTTATTCTAGATTTTCCACTCTGTCACATCACACTTCCAGAATCCTTTACTTGATGCTTTATAGATAGATGGAAAAAATACAATGTTTGGTAAGAGACAGACAGACATAACTGCAATTAAGTAATCAAACACTAGAATTAAGAAGTATAGCTGTAATACAATATTAAGGAAATAAACACTTCAAGTAAATGGAGCTAGAGAAACCTTAGCAGTTACATTTCTTTGCTTTTTATCGCATCAACCTCCTTGATGCTTGTAGCAGAATATACTATGCTAAAATTAAGATATAATAAAAGGAAAATTACCAAACATACATTTTAAATCAGGCTTACAATGCAATATAAACCTCACATCGCTAATAATTTTCAAATTGTATATATGCACTGCAGTAATAGTTAGCACAGGTTCAGGCATCCATAACTTGTATTAACACATGTGATCATTCACAAGAGACTGAAAATGTTCAAAGTTCAAGTCTGTGTTTATTCTTCAGGTTTTATAACAGTCAGGTTTCCCAGACTTGGCAGCATTTTTTAAAATAGAAAGTATCAACTTGTGTAGTTGTCTACTGTTTGAAGACAGCCCTTAAAATCTTCAGACAGTGAAGAGGCCCAGAGGAATAAAGCTCAAATATTCTTCTATGCATTTACAACATTATTCAAGCCCTCTTGTCCATCAACTGAGCGGAAGCGAGGTGGGGGTGGGGGGGACCAAACAGCAAAGCTGTGAAACAGATTAATCCTAGAAGAGAGGCAACCACCTTTTAATTCCGTCATATGTTAGCCTTGCAGCTTAATGCCATTATGTAATAGCACTTGAATGGCAATAAAGGTAACATTCCATAGGAATGAAAGAGGTTTTCTTACAAAAAAAAAAAAGTATTATCAATGCAGTTGGCTTGTACCTCCCTGGAAATCAGTCAATTACACTGAAGATTAATTTCATCCAATATTCTCTTTTACCTATCTTATTTTTTCTTTCCTCTGGGGCTGAATAATTCAAAGTTAGATTTCCTTACATCTCAGCTTTTGCTGAAAAGAATTAATTCAGTTAACTGATTCTTAAAGTTTCCCAGGTTCATTCCATATACTGTCTTCCTCTACAAGGACAAAAGCATCACAAGCACATAAAGCTTTTAATAAAGTTTTAAATATACCTGAACAGATGGGAGCAAAGAAGAAATGAGACTATGCCAAGACTATACCTCAGACCAGACTCAAACCTTTGCTATTCCTATTTTTACAGATCCTCAGTAGAAAGACAGACTTGGGCTATATTATAGTACATGCACATAATATGTAGCAAAGGTAAGACCCAAAACATGTATCTTTTTGCCTAAATGTTTTTTATTTTTTCCAAAGGCTCTTAATAATACAGGTCATTAAAACCTTTTTAGGTATGACATAAAATAAGTGTATGTGCTTAACTGTTAGTGCATAGTCATAAGTAAAAACTGCATGTATTTCCTCAGAAATATCAGCTCCTACCTCTGCAAGACTCAGCAACAAAGTTACTCCCCAAAATCAGAATTTTTTGTTTCAAAAATTCGCAAAATGAAGTAGCTGGTTTTCTAAAAATGCCAGTACCAAGGAGAAACACAAAAACTACATAGGCAATGTCACACTCGGTATCTCTAGATGAACAACTACCAAAAAAGGAATGATCTACAGAGTGATGATCTAGAGACTGAAAAGAATAGGTTTAGAATGCAAAACTAGGAAAAAAACCTCACAAATCACAACTGGTAACAGCAAAAGATGCTTAACAATAGAAATACAATTACTAGACACCTTAAGATTGATTAGACTGATCACTGGATGAAATGTTGATACCTTGAAAATACGCAACATAACACAAACTGGTGAGACCTACCTAGTCTGCAGAAAATGCATGTTCAATATTGCTGCAGAAAGAGCTCAAGGCTTTGTGGTAGCACACAGGTACCAAAATTGCAGCTGGATGGAAACAGAGGCACTACCAATATACAAGAGTCCTTCCTGAACCAGGCTTTGTGTGTCCTCCTTTTAAATCAGGCTATATCACTCACCTATGAAAGCCTTCATGATGAAATAAATTACAATCCCATAGCTACATTCAAGGCTTAATTGCTGGAAGAAATAAAAGGCAAAATGCAGGCACTTCTCTGGAAGGATGGCAGATACTACAGCTTTTAAGACAGCCAGCTAGGTAATGCTTCATAGGCTGAGTCTTAACTCCATAGCTGAATGATAAAATAGTTTTAAATGTATCATGAATTGCAGAAATTGGGATGGGGTGCATGTCTACCTTAAAAAAAAAAAGTATCAGTTCCACTTTAACAAAAACAGAAACTGGAATTTGAAAGCCTTTATTAAATGCCATTAATAACACCTGGGGTGAAGGTGACAGAAGAGCATCATCATGGTTATGTACACTTGGAGCAAACTCACAAAAATCAAAAGGAGTCACTGAAATCCAGCCAAAACCACAGTTCCACCAACACAGGGCACTTGAAACAGACATCCAAAGTAGAACCAGCATGTGCAAGTGCTTCCACATAAAGGCTAGAAGCCTGAAAATAACAAAGGAAAACCTGAAAGACTGCTTTTGAGAGAATACATAACTGAGACATCTCCAAAAGTGAATGGATGAGCAAAAATCAGGAGCCACTATTATTCTAAGGTACAAGCATAGGAACAATAAGAGTGATTGATTGGCCCCAGTGAAGGAATACTACTTTCTGCTAGGAAAGCACAGTATCCTAACTAAATTATTTACCTCAACAGGTACTGTGCTACATTTAAATTCCATATGCAAGCTAGAAGAAACAGCATATTAATGGTATATTATCAATCACTTTCACTCAACAGTGACAGCATGTGAGATAAGGGGAACAACAGAGACTGCAAAGTAATAACTGAAGACTTCAACTACTGTTGCACAGACTAGAGGAAGAGGACAGACCAAAAAAAAAAAAAAAAAACCCAAACCAAAACAAACAAACAAAAAAACCCCCCAAAAAACCCAAAACAAAAAAAACCCCACCCACCCAAAAAAAACCCAACCCACCACACCCCAAAAAACAACCCCACCACTGAATGATGGAAACAAATTCTTACAACACAGCCAACTGGAAACAGCTAGAAGACTAACAGAAGGAAAAACAACTCCTTATCAGACTCTGAGCCATGCAACACAGTTCAAGATGTAATTATCCAGATAGCACTCCAGAAGAGCATATTTAAACTCCCAGGGGAATTTTTTTTTTTTTAAAAAAAAGAGAATTCATTAATTCAACATTTGACTTCAAAAAAAGAGAACAACGTGAGTGTGAGAAACCCAGTTAAAAGGAAACAAAACGGAGCAGCTAAAAGAACAAAAAGCTTGGGAGCATGAAGGCCATTTAAAAATTCATCATATTAAGTATACAACCAATCTACAAACACCCCAAAAAAACATAAAGACTACTATCAAGAAGCCTCTAAGCTAAAAAGAGGCTGGAACTGTACTTGGGGGAAGTTTCATATACATTTGCCCTATTCTTTACCTTTTGCTAGGCATAGTTCAAGACAGGCTACTGAGCTCTGTCAGAGCAAAGGTTTATCGAAAATGTCGTTTCTTGCCAATTTTACAAACAGCAAAACCTTCCTAAAGAAAAAAAGTACCCAAGAAGCCTGAACCACAACAGAAAACATGGAATAGACTCTTTGCATTGATGTTCAGTAAGGAAAAGATCAGGGAAGACCACATCTGAGCTCTCCTCCTAGGGGTCAAGTCAGAGGAAAAAATGCTGTATCAAAGTGCTAATAGAGGAGTATTTTAGCACAAATCACTAGGGCCACATGGTATCCACTTAAGATTTCTACAGACAGTCAGCAATTTTGTATGTCAGTATCTGTAACCAATTACTTCAGCAGAAGCTGATAATAATTACAGACTACAGTCCTATCTCCATCACTAACAGACTGATAAGCACTACAGTTGAATAAGTATACAAAAGAAGAAATAATATATGGGGAAAGAATTAGCATGGATTTTGCAAAGAAAAAGTAACACCTCACAGGACTACTGCAGAGATATTTTGAAGGGTTCACATACTTGTTGACCAACCCTGATTAAACTGGTATACGGCACTTAAGACTTCCAAAAGGCATTCAAACACATTCCCCACTAAAGACTGCAGTGGAAATCATCTATAGAACAGATCTGGGAAAGGGTTTTCTGGGGGATTTGTAATTAAAGAGAAAAATACCATGTGCTGTTTGCTGTTACCACAATAAAGAGAAGTTACCAGAGGGGTTCCAAAATAAAACGATATAGGTCAACATATATAAATCAATGACAAGAGACGGTGACTACCAAAGTGACAGTTTCCTAATCATACAAAATTATTCACAGCAACTTAAACCAGAAACTGGTTGTAAAGAAAGACAGATGGGTATCACAATGCTCAATGCTCAGCCAGTACGATAGGCAAAATCACTAGTTACAAATGCAAGGTAGTGAACAGGGAGAAAAGGCTAACTACATATAAAGCAATTCCTCTAAAGCAGAAGTCCAAGATCCAAGTTGCGACTCTTTCACTCTCTCAAATCAAATCTACTCAATCATCAATGACCAAAGAGGTAAAATAATATAGAAGAAGAATCAAGAACAACACAGAACACATTTGTCACTACATAAGCAAGATGCTGGTGAACTATGTTTTCTATCAAGAGATATTCAGATCATCCCCTTTACAGAGAAAGGGAAAAACAGATGAGTTGCATGAACAATTTATATTAAAGGAGAAGTCTTCTCGTTGGAAGTAAAA